GCTGACACAGCAGGCTCGGGTGCGATTCGGTATACCTACATCAAATACTTGCATTTTGGAAACAGAGGCTTTAAAAAATCAACTCAATTAGTTAGTTCTTTAGGGTTCTTGCCCAAGAAGGTAGCCAAGTAGTGATCTATCCCCCTGAAATATGGTCGGGTCCAAAGCCATCAATGCATTATATGGCGAAATATTATAGAGCGGGATGATGCGTAATGAAACATTTAACATAAGCTTGTTGTCTGGTCAGACCAGAACGTTCACGCCCATCGAGAAAAGATCGACATCTAGATTTAACCAGAAAAAAAGTAAACAAACCCATGTTGTGCCTTTCTCCTTAATCTTTCCTTCCAAGATAGTTAATTTAAGAAGTGAATGACTACTTCTTATAGAAGTCCAAAGCCAATCGATGCATCATATGGCGATATATTATTGAGCATGGTTTAATATATCAGAAGGAACTCTGCGCCTCGAACTAGAGCCTCTCGTTCACCAAGTTTTGCTCTTAGCGAGGGATAAATTGTAATAGAATGTATATCAGCAGGAGGACAGAATATGGCTGCTCGGCTAAGAGCTAGGTCAACTTCGTCTTTTAGCCCGGAAAAACCGAGACTAGCGGAATTGCTCTCAATCAGCCTTGAACAGGCAAGAAGAGGTCTAATTACTATTTCCCGTTTTCTGGATCGTCTGTCGAGGAACTCATAGTGCCTGATTTACCCGTCAGAAACGTTCCCAGTAAGTTCTTTAACTCTAGCTTCCTCACAAGTGCTTATATTGTGTTTTGGCGCTGCTTTCTAAAAGAGGAAAGGTTCGATAGTGGACCTGTGATGAGAGGTTACGAGACCAAGTAGAACCATATGTTGCTGGACTGGAAGGCTGTAAATCTGATCAAAGTTATGTTTACCATGTCTTCTCTGGTATTTCAGGTCGCTAATGTATAATGTATAACACATACTATATAATTATTTTCTTTGACGAAATTTTGACAACGAAACAAAGATCCTATGAAAGTACAACACAAGGCACCAGAGGTGCTCACTCGTGCAGGGGCCTTGCCACGCTAACAACACACAGTAAATTCTTCTTGCCTCTTTAGTTGGCTAGTTTCATGATTTGAAAGTTCAGCTGAAATAACGAATATCCTTCATATAACGACTGATTGACACTGACCAGCAGAATATAGTTTTACGTTCAATATACATTCACATTTTTCTAGTGAAAATCTTCTTGGAAATAGAGAAACCTGTGCCATTTTTTGTCAATTATATTATCCCAAGTTGCCCATAAGTAATCATTTGGCTTTTTTCCTTTATTACTTTTATTTACTTATTTATCTATTTATTTATTTTATTGAATGAGAAATATCTCATCACCAGTCCCTGGGTTTCAAGAGCTTTTAAAACTTTTTGCGAGGGCTTAGCGCTAAAATAGTAAACATGTCTACTTACACCCATCACTTCAATGTACACACCTGAAGATTTTCAAGAATTTTACAAAATTAGAAAAGTGTACAAGAAATAGCCAGAGGGAAGTTTGTGCAGATATTTTGCGATTGTACACCCTCATGTATAGGTATGAAAAAAGTCATATGCAATGAGTTAAATTTCAAATAATTTGAAAATGGAACATAGAATCAGTCTTATTAAACACAAAACTCTTGAAAAAAAGGAGTATCCTCTAAATCGGCACTCTTAACCCTATAGGTGTCAACGCACGCCTTTCATTTTACTAGTTTATTCGTGTTTTTCTCGTCACCATGTTCCCACCAATAGCGTAGCTTCACGGCTTTCTGCATTTAAACCCACACGCAACCCACAATTCCTCCATTCGCTCTGACCAAAGGCTAACGCTCGAAACGTTAGCTTTTGAACTCTTTACGGTGGCCGATTTACAATTTCAACTCATTTGATATAACCGCATTACCTTGTTAGCCCCAAATAAAGAACGCATCAAATACATCCCGAGTAGGCGGGAATATCAGCAGATCAGAGGAGCGATTTTCGAGCGAATTTTGGTTCGCGCTTTCGATGTGAAGCGTTACTGTAGCTTTGAAGGCTACAGATGTATGGTGACCCGTTTATTTTCGTACTAGTTGCCAGAGGAAGCAAGTCAAACTAAAAAAACAAATACAGATTTTTT